TAGAATCACTTTAGATTTTCCACAGAAACCCTAATAGCCAGGAGGATGTCATGTTTCATACTGATGAAAGATAATTTCCAAATCACTCTGGTTTTCAGTAGCACTAACTAAAATTCTTACAACCTAGTTGGAATACAAAGAAAATTTAAAATCTGCCCCTACTGAAGAGCTGCAATCTTCCTGCTCATAGCCTTTGGACACTGGTCTCCAGCCCTCTCAGTTTTACAAATTCTCCAAACTCTCAAGATCCAGAGTCTATAAATTTTAACCCCAGGAAAAAGTTACTGGAATCCTCATGAGTAAATTCCAATCTACTACTTTCAATTCAAACCACAGTTAGAAATAAGAAACAAGGCATATCTTCAGTTGAAGGCAGCCAAGTGATCCTAAATCCAGTTAAAACAAAGACCAACCTGAACAAAGGCCTCAACAGATGGCCAAATTGAGGTTTTAATAATTCATGAAGAGGGCAGTGGCTCGGGATTGAGTCACCATGAGAATGGCAGGAATTATGTGAGTACTGTGTGCTTGGCTAGGTAGGAAACTCAATGGCACTTCTAGAATATACAGAGAGATGTGTGCAGAAAGAGTACCAGATTCTGGTAGCAGCCTCTAAGTTTGGAGGAATCTGAATAGCACAGTTTTAGAAAGTATCTTGGGCTTTGAGTTAGATAGATGCCTCAGCCCTAATACTGGCCTTTATGTGCTCTGGGATATCACTGCTTATTTTTGGAAGTTCTATCACAGCCCACAGCACAGCATCTCTCAACCTAGTTTAAATTTAGTAGGAGGTATCCTTCGGCAGGACTGCACACAGATCTGTCCTTTTACTTCAAGGGCTATATGGGTGCCTCCACTAGACTCATTTGCTCTGCCTATCTTGTAGTCAGTCAAGGGGATTGAACAACTCCCTAGCATCAGCTCTGTGCATATCAATAAATGCAGGTGGCCAAAGGTAAACCAATATGGGGGCAAATTGTCTTCTTTCAGGGGAAGTTGTCTCGGTGTTCCTCCACAGACTGCTTTAGCTTTCTATTGCAGGCTTGAACCTGCAGTTTACATTGTTTTCAGTTTTTCAGTCTTGAGTGGGGGCTGAAACATTGGTTGTTTTTGTTTTGTTTGTGTGGTTTGAGTTTTTAAAATTTACCTTTTTATCTTTGTTCTCTTATTTTCTGTGGCTTCTTTCTCTTCAGATGCGCATCTACTTGATCCTCTGACTCTCCACTGCATGGGAAATCATTTTGAACTCCTCTGCCTCTGATTTTTAACATCTATCTAATAAGTAGACATACTGATTAGACACATATTTTCTGTCATTTTTTTTCCTGTAAGGCAACCTTAAATAATATAACTCCCCTCCAGGGCACACAGCAACAAGGTGCCCTACTGGAATCACAGAGGATACCTAACAAGAGACCAAACATGCTGGTGTCTTTGGTGCCTTAATCTTGGACATTCTAATCTTGAAAACTGTGAAAGGCACCTGCTTTCATAACAAAGTACCCACTGATAAGTTCTGTGTCACACCAACAGAAACTAAGATACATGCTTTAAAATTGGAATAGCTTTAGTCTAACTGAAAAGTTGTAAAAATAAGTTGTAAGTGAAATAAGTCAGTCAGAACTATATAAATATTGTATAGTCTTTCTAATATGTAAGACTTGAAGTACAAACAGCTTAATGAGTAAAATACAGAGTTATGTTAAGAAACAGAGAGGTAGACTGTACAAAGGGGAAGGAGTATAGGGATGTGGGTAGGATATTGGGGTGATTGCTCTGGAGTTCTCTTTTTTAGTTGGGTCTTTCTCCGGTTTTGGTACTAGAGTAATATTTACTTTCAGGAATGACCTAGGAAAAATTGCTTTCCTTATTGAAGAATTTGAGGAGTTCCCACATTTAGTCTTCTTTGTATTTCTTGTAGAATTCTGCAGTGAATCTGTCTGGGCCTGAGCTCTTCTTTGTAGGAATGGACTTAATTACATTTTCAATTTAATTAATAGAAATTAGGTTATTCAGCAGTTTTACATCTTCTTGACTCAGATATGGTATTTCATATGTTTCTAAGAATCTGTCTGTTTCTTCTGTGTTATTGATCCGATGAGAGTAGAGGTTTTTGAAATAGTTGTTGAGGATATTCTGAATTTCCACAGTGTCTGTAGTAATTTTGCATTTTAGATCCCTTATTGCATGAATTTTAGCTTTTTTTCCCCCTTTTTAAAATAAGATTGTTTAGGGGCATGTCAGTTTTATTTATTCTTTCAAAGAACCAACTCTTTAATTCATTGATTCTTTGGATTGTTTTCTTAGTTTCTATTGCATTAATTTCTGCTCTGATTTGTATAATTTCCTTCCTTCTTTTGGCTTTGGGCTTGTCTTGCTTTTCTTTTTCTAGATGTTTGAGGTGTAGCATCAGGTTGTTTATTTGTGTTCATTCTGTTTTCCTGATGGGGAAACTCAATGCAATGAATTTTCCTCTGAATACTAATTTAATTGCATCCTAGAGATTCAGGTAAGTTGCATTTGTATTTTCATTTACTCTTAGGTATTTCTTAATTTCTTCTTTAATTTCTCCTGTGACCTACTGATTGCTCAAGAGTCTATTATTCAATTTTCATGTGTTTGTGTGGTTTTTGCAGTTTGTTTTATCATTAATTTCTAGTTTCATGGCACTATGATCTGATAACATGCATGGAATAATTTGAATTAATTTCACATTTATTTAAATATGCTCTGTATGGTATTATATGGTATATTTTAGAGAATGAATGATGTACTGCTGAGAAGAATGTATATTCTGATGTTGTTGGATGGAACACTCTGTATATGTCTATCAAGTCTATTTGCTCACAAATGTAATTCAGTTCTGCTATTTCTTTGCTGATTTTCTGTCTGGTTGATCTGTCCCTTGGTGTCAATGGTGTGTTAATGTCTCCTGTTAAAACTGTGATATTGCTAATTTGATTTTTCTTTTCTATTAGTACTTGCTTGGTATCACTGGGTGCTCTGGAATTTGGTGAATATATATTTAAGATTGTTATCTCTTCCTCTTGAAGTTTGCCCCTAACCAGTATGTAGTGATCTTCTTTATCTCTTAGGATCATTGTTGGTTTGAAATTCACATTGACTGCAAACAGAATAGCTATCCCCATTTTTTTTCTTTGTTTCATGTTGCATGAAGTATTGTTTTCCATCCTTTGACTTTCATTCTGTGAGTTTCCTTTTGGGTTAATGGGTTTCTCGCAGACAGCGTATGGTTGGATGCTATGTCTTGATCCATTCTTTCAGTCTGTTTCTGCTAATTGTTGAATTGAGACCATTTGCATTAATGGTAATAAATCATATATTAGCTTATTGTTGACATTATATGTTTCTGCTATTGCATCTTTATCTTTCCATTCTGTTTGTCTGCCTTGCTTAGTGATTTTTTTCTGTGTGTATCTAAACTGTATTTCAGTATTCTTAGCAGGTTTGGCTTTGTGATCAGGGAAATTCTTCATCTGTTCTTTGTCATGGAATTATCTTATTTTCCCATCAATTTTGAAGGCAGTATTTCAGGGTACATCAGTCTAGGTTGGAAATCATTTTCGTTTCAGATCAGATATACTTCACTCCATGCTCTTCCTGACCTCATTGTTAGTGTTGAGAAGTCTGCTATAATTCTTACAGGTTTTCCTTTATAGGTTATCTGTCTTTTCTCTCTAATAGCTTTTTATATTCTGTTCTTATGTTGGATCTCTGGGATGGTGATTATTATATATTTGGGTGTAGTTTTCTTTTTGTTATGGCTATTTGAAGTTCTATGTAGTTCACTAATCCTAATGGCAGTTTCCATTCTCATGTTTGGGAAATTTTCAGCTATTATTTGTGTAAATAGCCTCTTGATATCATTTGTGTTATCTCCTTCTTTTTCTTTTATCCCTATCAATCTTATATTGTTTTTCTTCCCATCACTTTGCAGCTGTTGCCTTGTTATTTCCTGATTCCTTGTTATTTTTAAAAGATTTTTCCTTTGCTGTTCACTAGCTGCAATCCTGTCTTCAAAGTATGAAATTCTGTCTTCACTTTCACTGACGTGTTTTTCATAATTTTCGATGGAATTCTTGGTTTCCTGTGAATCTCTTTGAATCTCCTTCATGTACTCTCTTTTTTTCTTATATTGTTCATCCATGAATTCTACCTTTTAGTTTTGTTACTGTGTTTTCTTTAGATGTGTTCAGCATCTTTTTCATTAATTTTCTCATTTCTTTTTCATTAATTTTCTCATTTCTCATTTTACCTGGGAGATTATTTTTGTTTGAATTCATTTAAAATTTCATGATGTTGTTTCTTTATTTCAGTTTCCATTATTTCAGGTATTTCAGGTGCTTGACATATATTTTCTTCCATGTATATCCTCTTTGGATGGGCTGGGGTTTGAGATTGCATTTTGGTCTTGCCTTTTGTCATTTTTCTATATTTCCATGTTTCAAGTTTTGTTCCAAGGCTTCCCCTGAGTGTGTTCAAAATCATTTCCTATGTCCTCGGCTCCCGGGACTGAATGTAGGTTTCTTAGCATTGTCCAGTGAGGCCCACAGGACCTCCCGTGTCACCTCCAGTGTTCCTTGAAGCTGGGCAGGCCCCTAAGCACTGTGGATGATCATCCAGAACTCTCCCCAGACAAGGGCAAAATTGCTGGAACTCTCCTCACATGGTCTCAACTCCCCTAACTGAAGAAGGTCACTGGGTGTAATCTAGTCAGACTGCAAAATCTTCCAAGTCTAGTCTAGTGTGGCTGGAAGCTGAGCACCTCTTTGATCACTGGGAATGATGATCTTGAACTCCCCCAGGGCTCAGGATGTTGAGCAGGAACTCACTCCCAGCAGGAGCCTCATTCCCTTCTGGAGCATCACAGTTCCCCGGATTGAAAGATGGTCACTGGGCATGGCCCAGGCAGGCCTGAAACCTGCAGAGCCCAGTCTAGTGTAGCTGGAAGCTGGGCTCATTCTTGACCACTGAGAGCAATGATCTTAAACTTTCCCATGGCTCGGGATGGTGTGAAGGAACTCACCTCCTCAGGCAGCACAGTTCCCTCCTCTGGTAGCACAGTTCCCGGATTGTAAGAAGGTCACTGGGTATGGCCCAGGCAGGCCCAAAACCTGCAGAGCACAGTCTAGTGTAGTTGGAAGCTGGGCACGTCCTTGACTGATCTTAAACTCTCCCAGGGCTTGGGATGGTAAAGAGAAACTCACTCCCACCAGGAGCCCAGCTCCCTCCTCCGGCAGCACAGTTCCCTGGATTTGAGACAATTTCTTCCTATATTGCCTAGGTGGGACTCTCAGGCTTGTAATCATTGTGCCCTAGCCACACGCATATCTGAGATTACCAATGTGCACCACTACACGCAGGTGAGGAATGTTTATTTGTTGTGTGTGCTTAAAAATATTTTCAGAATAAAAGGAAAGTTTAAGAGGCAATTTTTAGCATGGTTTTGAATATATTTGGGTTTTTTTGGAGTATCTCTGATCCTGGCTTAAAGGTGGTTCTTACATTGACTTTTCATCTTGATTTATCCTGTAGATAGTAGAATTAATGACATCTCATTTCAAAGGTTATTTAGTTCTCTCAATATTTGCTGACATTTTCATACTGCTTAAAGTGATCTTACATTCCTTTATTATAGATTAAATTATCATTCTCATTGAATTTATCTCTATATCTTCCATTGCATTACATCACTCACTCAGTTAATAAAAAACATTTATTAATTATATATTTTATAGATGGTTTTAATATAAGGGATAGTTACTCTAGTTGTTACTTTGATTCATTAGTTTTTCTTCCTAACTGGTAAGTTTGTCCCTCCAAATGAATTTTTTTGACAGATTCTTGTAGTTCTATCATAGAAACTAGAATCATAGAATAACTTTATTAGGACTCTTAAAACTTATAAATTAATCTACCTAAAGTAAATGGATATTTACTAATTTTCCTTCTTTGGTAAGATATGTATTTATTTTCCTCTTTTTCAATTTACTTGGCACTCTTTAAGGCTCTTTTATTTATTTCTCATGTGTCTAGTTTATGTTGCTATACTAAATATCAGACTCTGGGTAGTTTAAAAGTAAAAAAGTTTCATTTCACCACAGTTCTGGCACTGTCATCTGTGGACTGTAGTGAAGACCTCATGTCAGATGGCATCACAGTGGTGGGAGCTTGTGAGGCAGACATAGTAGTATAGATATGGAAGAAGTATCTGAGCGAGAGAGTACTATGTTTTAAAATAGGAACTCATCTAGTAACATGCTCTTTGCATTAAATCTCTCCTGAAGGCTTTGCTTTGTGATCTTACTGGTACAACTTATTTTTTCACCGTAAAAAAGCAACATTTTACACAAAGGAGGTAAATAACTACAGAGAAACACACTTATGTACTTGAAAGTTTTAAAATGTAGATTAAAATATTTTGAAGTATCATATACTATATAGACTCAAAAAATGAAATGTAATATATTGCTGTAGTACTATCAATTATGTCTAATTTTCTTGAAAACAAACTGTTAATATATAAAAGTATCCATTCAGTTTGATTAAATAATCCATTCAGTTTAATTAAATAATCCCATTTGTATCATGATATTCAAATCAAATTCTTTCAATAGCAATAGATAGTAGGAAACAGAGAGAAATAAATTTTAAGTAAAATGGAAGGGAACCTAAAGATGAATGGAGGCGGGATAGAGGTGAGAAGTAAAAATCATTAAGATGCGTTATGTGCGTGGGACAACATCCACAATTTTCACTGTGCTCGGCAAACATGTGTTAATAAACGTAACATATAAAAACAATAAAAAACAGGATGGTTTAAATACTAAGAAATAGCAAAAATTTCTTAGTATACTACTGAATATTTCCACAACAGATTAGTATATGAGCAATTTCAAGTACTGCACATTTGCAATGCAGAATTGTGTTTTTTGTCTAGCAGTATGTATATATTGTCCCTCTGTGATCTCCTTCCCATCTCCAAAATGTCTAAGTTTTGTTTCCTAATATTGCTATTTTATTTATGTTTAGAATTTTCATGTAAAAGGAACCTGCAATATTTCACCTCATGAGTATGATTTATTTCATTTAATATTATGTTCCTATGTGCCTTCCAATTTCCTGAAAATGACAGAATTTGATTTTTGTTTATTGAATATATATATATATATATATATATATATATATATAATCTTTATACAGGTGCTCGTTGGTGGATCCAAATTTTAAAGCTTCTACCACGATCATCACCTCAACATAGCTACACTGGTAATCAATCCTAAATTACACAAATATTTGAGGAAAAATATCCAAAACAAAGTATAGGCATAGTATAATTATTATATAGTATATGTCCATTTAAAAAAAAATTTTTGGACGACTTCCAGATATGTTGAACAAAATTTATGATACTAAAAGAGTTCTCATAAACCTCACATGCAATGTCTTTTATTATTAACATCATTCAAAAATGTTATAGAGCTATTTGCAATAATTAGTCATATCTATATTCATATATACAATTATATAAGCTCAATAGCTTCTTCAGGTGTTGTTACTTTTTCATATTTAATTTGCTGTAACAACATCTCATGAAGATGCCATTCTTCAGTTACTATGTGTCCCAGAATTTCTGATGCCTATTACAAGGGTTATTCTTTAATTTTTATGAGCTTGACCATTTTTACAACTTCTAAAACAAGATGGGGAATGTAAAACATGCCTGATTTCTTTTTCCTAATTAGACGTAGATTATGTACTTTTGAGAGGAATCTACATAATTAACATGACATTTAATAAAAATATATAGTGTACTGTCAACATGATTGGCTTATTCCTGCTGCTAAGAAGCTTGATCACCTGCTGTGATAGTACTCAACTTGTTTAGTCACTGTGAAGTTTTTTACTTTTTTTCACTATTTATTAAATAATATTTGAAAATAAATCAATGTGAAAGTCTTAAGAAGTTCAGATTTATATTTTATCCCTTTGAATGAGTTTAATATCCACACGTTATTTGGAAATAGGATAGGAGATTCAATATTTTCAACAATATTGAATTTGACTATATTAGTATTGACTCAAATATTTGTCTTAAACTTGGGATTATGATACAGAAACACTTTATTTAAGTTCTAGCATTTTGACCATAAAGAATTTGTTCAATCAGTTTTTGTTCTCTTGACATATTTATATCATTTAAAACTAGTTCTGATTATTTTGCACTGCCTTAATTTCTGGCCCTGAAAAATATTTTACTTTTGTATATTTATTGCTTCAATTTTGAAGTTAGCTATTAAAACTGTTATATTTTTAGGTTGTATCTTTATTTTTTATAATGACATTCATTTTTTTTGGCTTTTTCTTTTTTTATCGGTAGCAGGGATCAAACTCATAACCACACACTTGCAAGGCAGGCGCTTATGCCGCTGAGCTGAATCCCCAGCCCCAAATATATTTGCACTGTCTTTAAAGCACTTTTTTTTTGGTACTGGGAATTGAACTCAGTACCTTGTGCTTGCCAGGCAGGCACTTAGGCCACTGAGCTACATCCCCAGCCCTGACATTCATTTTGATAAGTGAAACATTCTCATATTGCTGAAAATTGGTTTTCATTTTTATTCACATGTCTTTTTTGGTAATTATTAAATATTCTTTTTTAACATATTATTTTGGGGAAATTACTTTATACTTTATACATGCTTAAGCCATATGACAAGGTAACATATACTAAATTTTCTTTTCCATTTGTTTGCTTTTTGCTATTTTCCCTTGTTTAATCCATTGATTAGAAACTTTGACATAATATCAAATTGTGGTATTGATAAAGAAAGTTTAATTTTTTTTTCCTGATGATAGCAAGCAAGCCTATATTCTTTGTTTTTACTATGTCAAAAATTATTTTCTCTGTCTTGGTAATTCTTCAGCAGATACATACATAAGCAATTCCATTAATTTTATTTTCAAGTCAGTGTTATTAGATCATTTTTACTGTTATAATACACCTAAGCAGGCTATATAAAATTATACTACCACCTTAAACTGGTTTCAGGCTATAAACTACAGGGGTCCATTTATTTTTTAGACTATTCTCAAGTTTCAACATACATATAGTGCATCTATTTATTAAACATGTTTCATAGTGTGTTTCTAACCTGATGAGGAAAAAAAAAAAAACTCTTTGAGGACAGATACTCAGGCTTGTCTTATTTGATGATTATGCTCATTGCCTAGAACAGGTTTGGCATGGAATAGACATTCAGGAAATAAATTTTAGTTGAATGAATGTGTGAATTCTTTTACTCAATCTTCATTGTAACTCACCTTTAACATTTATAGTGCTAGAATGTATTTTTTTGGTGTTGCATCTTTATGCCATACTGATGTATCAGCCTCAAAGGAATAGTAACTGCTGCTCTCATGTTCTTATTTATTCTTAGAGTTAGTAAAGTGTAGGAATTTAAAACGAAATAACATCACAGGTCAAAATCAAATTTTTCATTTCCACATATGTGTTTGTAGAACCAGTTCAATTGTAAGGTTTGGATCTGCTCTCCAATAGGCCTTGCTAGTAACCAAATCTCTCATTTTAACACTTGAGGAGGCTCCACATCTCCCATTTCATACTCAAGCCTTTCTTCCTATTCCTAGACATATCAAACCTATAACAATGCAGAGAATATTCTTTTTTTAACAAAATGTTTTTCATTTTTTCTGATTAGCATAGAAATTATTTGCTAATATGGATTTCAATGCAATATTTCAACACATACAGAGCAAATGAGTCAAATCCAGTGTCTGCCCCATCTTAATCTTTAGTAGTCATCAGGCTACACTTAAGTTGATGTTTGTAAAGCTTCCACTTGAGAGAGAAAATGTGGTACTTGTCTTTGTTCTTATGGTTTATTTTTTTTATTTGAAGTAATACCGTAGTTTCTCTTCATTTTGGTGGCAGAGAAAAAATTTCATTTTTCTTGATGGTTTAATAATGTTTCATGTTTTAATAGATACCATATTTTATTTATCTGTTCATCCAGTGGTGAATACATAGGCTGACTCAACATCTTACATATTGTGAGTATTTCCACCATAAACTTTGACATTCTGTTATCCCCTTAGTATACTAATTTCATTTCATGTGTTATATGGTTACCTACAAGTGTGATAGCCCAATTATATGGTAGACTTAGTTTTTGTTTTTTGAACAGTCTCTGGACTACTCTCACTAATGACTATGCTGATTTATAAAACTACCATCTGTGAGTGTGAGTTGATTTTCCTCTATATCCATGCCAGGATTTTGCTGTGTTTTCTTTTTCATAAAAAGGTATTATGAACATGGCAACATAATATTTGAATTTTCCTGAAGGTTATTGACAATTAAAGAGTTTTTATATATTTAATGGCCATCCATATTTCTTGTTTGAGATATGCCTTTTCAGATTACTTATTATTTTAATTAGATTATTTTAGGTTTTGGTTTGGTAAATATTTTGAGTTCTTGATGGACATATTTGTCAGAAAAGTATTTGGCAAATTTTTGCTATTTAGTTTCATTATTTCACTTTTAAAAATTGACTTTATTTTTGAGACATTTAAAATTTATACAATATAGAGCTGAAATTTCAGTTTCAACATACTTTTGAACCCTACCACACTCAGTTTCTACATTAACAACTTCCCACACATGAGCAAAATTTTAGTTAAAATTTATGATCTTACAATTACTAATCATCATTCATACTACATACATTTCAATAGAATTCACTCTTGGTATTATCCATTAAGTATTTTCACAGGTACCATTGTAGTATCATGAAAACAGTTTCACTGATCTAAAATTCTGTTTTCTACTTATTATGTCTATATGCAATATGAGACCATTTATTGATTCTTAGCATTATGTGTATTTGTACTTACAAACAACAGTCAGTCTATTTATACACACATATGAAGAACATTGCTGCAACTTTTACCATATTTGCACATGGTATGCAGATTATGTAATAAAAGTAAATACATAACCTTTATCTAGATTTGCTTACACAAATTTTTATTTTAAGCTGTGGAATATTATATCACTTTTGTATTTTAATTTCTATGACATTTTATTTTAGGATGTATTGGTTGTAGTTACTAATGAAGTTCAGTATGACATTCCATATCTGCATAG